AGTGATATGATCTGAAATTTCATATATTAAATCACTTGATGCATAAACAGAGAAGGCAAGAATCAAAGTGATAATTACTGCAATGTGAAATTCTAACTCAAAGCAGCACATTTAGGTCCATAAGGTCCATAAGGCTAGTTCTAGGCTATATAGGAAGCCCTGGAGAAGAATGGGTACATTGTGAAGTTTCTGGCATACTTGTAAATTAGCTAGTGAAAGCTAAAGGCAGATGGGATTTTAGCCAGTTGATGACTGGTGTACTTTTAATTTAGAATTGTAAGCAGGAGAAAGGGCTGTTTATAATCAGCCAAAACCACAGTAGTGATCAAGATACACCCTGGAGCTACGTCAGAGTTTTTGGAAGTCCCCGAAAATCCCTGCTATGTAGTGTACTATGCACTGATATACCAAAAGATTTCATACAACTCCCAAATGCTAACCTACTCCCAAGGACTCAGACAATGACTGCAGTGCTAAGCCCTGGCCACAAGAAGCATTTTGGGGTCCAACTAGAAAAATCTCATCATTTACCATTGGAATCATAGGATCTGGTTAAAATGAAAGTTAACTTGGGTGTTTTAAGAATTGGGATTTCCTAATGGTGTGTCTTTATAACACTCATACTACCAAGAAATCATATAGAGGGGACGCTAGCTTCCCAGGTCACATCAGATGAACTTTTCTTCGTCTCCTTTATATTAACTTCCACACCTTTCAGAGATTTGAGGTTGAGGCCCTAACATTGCCACTATCTAACTGTGGGAAGCCTGGATAATTATTTAATTTCTGTGGCCTTGGTCTCATTGTTGGCTTTATTTTGCTACTTGTGAAACGAGAGAACGGGAAGAGCGAGGCTCAACTCAATGATCTCTAAGGTTATTTTTCTAGCTCTAAATATCATGTTTCCTTATCCTTTCTTTGGGACTTGCTAAATAAATAACAGCAAAACTGAGCCCTTTCAGTTGAGCCAACTATTGCTTTAGGTTTGGTTCCCAAAATAAAGCAAACCCAAGTGATACAAGAGACGCTATGAAGGAATAAGGCTGGATTCAGGTATCTGTACTGCCTCCAAATAGAAAGGGCTGTTTATAAATGTCCTCAGTCTAGAATATGCTAAACAAGAATTTAGCACAAGTCTGATAGCAAAATAATTATTAACCCTACTAAAACCAAAAACCAAACCTGTTGCTGTCGAGTTGATTCCAACTCATAGCGACCTGTAGGACAAAGTAATGCCCCATAGGGCTTCCAAGGCTGTAATCTTTATGGAAGCCAACTGCCACATCTTTCTCCTGCAGAGCAGCTGGTGGGTTTGAACCGCCGAACTTTTGGTTAGCAGCAGGGCACTTAACCACTGTGACACCAGGGCTCCTCCCTATCCGTACAAGTGCCCTAAAAGCCCCAGACCAGCTGGTGTGGGGCACGCTCACTTCTTAAAGGAAAAAACTAAATCTCCTCTTTACCTATCCATACCCATCTGACCTATTCCTGAAAATTGTGTTATGGAAGCCTCTTCCCTTTTTAAATAACCAAAACATTATAGACCTATTAGAACTTTCCTGATTTCCCTCAAATAAACCCAAAATACAAAGGAGTATTAGCCACGTTCCTCCATGTTAATGCCATGGTAAAAATCCTTTCAGACAGTATTACAGACTTATTAAAAAACAAGGTTTTTGAACTCATCGTCTCTCAACAAAACAAGATAATCTGCAAACTGTGGCAATAAAGCTGGTTAGAAGCAGGGGGTCAGCTGAGGAGCTACCCACGTTCCCCATTTTGTGCTGTGTAGCCTCCATCAACTTCTTCAACGCTGGGGAGAAGCAAATGGTATGTCCCAAACTCACTTCTTCACTCAGGATCTTAGAGGTGAATGGTTTTGCTTACTGCCAGATTTATTTCCCCCAGAGTAAACACTGGCTACAAGTACTATGTACTGACTGGAAGTGTACCTCTTACCTCATACCCTAAGAATCCCAGTGGTTTGCAACACTGATCGGATATCAAGAGTCACCTGGGAACCTATTAAAACCCAGATTCAGACTCTCTCTCTATTCTCAATAAATTAAAACCATTTCCAAAGGTGGAGTGCAGGAATCTGTAGTTTTAAACTTTCCCTTTGCTTTTTGTTGTACAAAGGGGGAGGAGTTTGGAAAACATTCTTCCACTCCATTGTCTTCCATCTCTCCTACTCTGAACAAAATCAACAGAATTATTCATTAACTAGCTAAATAATCATACCAAAAATTTAGTTATCAACGGATCAATACAAGGACAAGGTAGTAAATGGTAATCTGCAGAGGATGATCTTAAATTCCACTTTTTCAATCCGAGACTTTTTTTGTAATAGGTTCGCTGTGAGTCGGAACCGACTCCACGGCACCTAACAACAAACAAGTAGGAATTTACTCACAAAAATCAAAGGGTTCCTATTGAATTAGGGGAATTGAGTGAGGAGGGTATCTCCTTCCCTATTGCAATGAGTGCACCTACTTATTTCCTCGTATCTGAGGTCTCCTTGTTCCTCTACCTACTCCCTTCAATATACCTCTCTCTAAGGGAGATGGGGAGAAAGTACAAGGGCAGAATCCTATCATTCCCACTTGACTTAACCTGTTACTTTCAGAATAAGATGTAAAGCATTTAAAAAAAAAAAAAAAACTAGCATTTTCTTCTAGACACTAAGAAAAAAACAAAGTATTTAAAAATCAGCAAATACTTGAAGAGATGTAGAAAATTCTTTTACATAAAATAATCACATTGGAAGAGCATGTTCCTTTGATATTGCACCAAAAAAGGCAGACAATCCTATCATCTGTAACATAAACTATAATTTTTTAAGTGAAGATTTCTAATTGTTAATATAAGATACAACTGGCTCATATGTGGTCCTTCCACCAGAAATGAAGTGGTAAATACACTATTTGTGGAATTATAAACTGCCCCTATCAAGGTTTATAGGAGAAACCCAGAGAAGGATAAAATCCTGATTTCATTAAAAACTGAATCAATATCTTACTAGTTTGGAATGTCAACATCACAATTAATTCCTAAAATTAATATCAGAAACATAACTGACATGCCGTTTTAGAAATTTAGGTTATTATGAAAATTTACTATTCTTTGCTTAATTATATTAGGTTCTCATACTTGATATGTCAAGTTTTGAGTGCACTACAAAAAGAAATATAAATAGTAGAAAATCACACAAATGAAGTATTGTAATTAGATTCCCAGCACCACATAACTTACCTACGCATCCCCAAAGTTTAAGACTCCTTGTCTGTTAGATGGGTAATGTAACTCTCTCTAGGGGATTCACTTGGTAGTTTTGATTTTATAACCTACACTAATTATGCATGGAAGGAGTCCTGGTGGCGCAGTGGTTCGGCACTCTGCTGCCAACCAAAAGGTTGGCGGTTTCAACCCACTAGCTGCTCTGCAGGAGACATGGCAGTCTGCTTCTGTGAAGATTACAGCCTTGGAAACCCTATAGGGCAGTTCTGCTCTGTCCTATAGGGTCACTATGAGTTGGAATGACTCAACGGCAATGGGTTTTAATCATGCATATTATCTTTTTAGGAAATAGGTTTTGATGTTTTGACCATCTCAAACTGCTAAATGTGTTGCACCAATACATCAGTACTGTCTGCTTAGTTAAAATTAGCTGCATTCAAGAAATGAAAATTAACTCTTACAAAAACATTATCATAGGATGGCAGAACTGCACTAAGAAACCTTTAGCACATTCAAGACATATTCACAAAATAAGTTACATAAAATTTAGAATTTAACTGCTCAAATTAAATTATAGGAAGCCCTTGGGCAGAAAAAAAAAAAATCGTATACAGAGTAGGGTAAAGTATCCAAAGGAAAAAATTATTGGTTCTTCTATTAGAGTCAGTCAGTAAATGTATTTGTAACCATAACACGGGGCTTACTACAATGTAATCATGATTTTTTAGTTTTATTCTGATATTAAAAACTGTTAAGTCATTAAGAACTTAACTGAGAAACTGATGCAGAAATGCAAACATTTCAAGTCAGAGAAAAGAAAATCTATACACAAAAAAAGAACTATAGTTACTCACAGGAACATAAATTAGCAACAGTTAGCCATTCCCCTGATATGATAAGAGAAAAAGAGTTGACTCCGTGGTCAAAATAATTTTATGGAAAGAAAGAAAAAGAATTAATTTTAACTTTTGGAATTATAGAGGATAATTTCAGCCAAAAGTGGAGCCTAACTTCTCTACCACATCTCCTGTTTTTAGAACACTTTATAAAATCAATGGTTTGCCAGGCTCACTAATTTATTTAATACCTCTTAGGTACGTACAGATACATTTTCAGAAGTCTGTAAACAGCATTAAGGAAAGATAGGAACTGTTTCATTTAAGTCTTACCTAGTATCATGGATTGAACTGTGTCCCCCCAAGGTGTCCGTGGACTTGGCTGGGTCACGATTCCCAGTGTTGTGTGGCTGTCTACCATTTTGTCGTCTGGTGTGGTTTCCCTGTGTGTTGTGAATCCTGTCACTATGATGTAGTGAGATGGATTGGTGGCAGTTGTGTTGATGAGATCTACAGGACTGGATAGTGTTCTTAAGCCAATTTCTTTTGAGATTTAAGGGGAGAAGTGAGCAGAGAGACATGGGGACCTCACACCACAGAGAAAGCAGTGCGGGAGCAAAGCACATCCTTTCGACCTGAGGTTCCTGTGCTGAGATGCTCCCAGACCAAGGGAAGACTGATGACAAGGACCTTCCTCCAGAGCCAACAGAGACAGAACGCCTTCCCCGGGAGCCAGCACCCTGAATTCCGACCTCTAGCCTACTGGACTATGAGCGAATAAACTTCTCTTTGTTAAAGCCATCCACTTGTGGTATTTGTGTTATAGCAGCACTAGATGACCAAGACACCTAGTATAATCAATCAACCTCAGTGCAATAAATACCAATGAGATGTCAATATGAATAAAAAAGCAAGACTACAAAGTGATGTTTTCTTTTGGGGAATTTTTTTTTATGATCAACTCCAAACACACAGCATAGGGTAGATGGAACGAGTATGACAAAAAAACCGTATTTCCCCATTGACACCAAGCCTTATTATTCAAAATATGTTTCAAAATACTAAGCTAGATCACCAATCCTAGTCACTGCCTTAGTTCAAATCTTCATCAAGAAAATAGTCAAGCAATAGAAATTCATTGTGAGACACTTAGAGCAAGCAGCTCCATTGCTATATATAATTTATTAACTTAGTAGTTCAGTCTCTCAATATTTAGCAAGTTCATTTAAAAATTACTATCCCATTGGTTTATAGTGACATTAATATAAACGCATCATTTCAAAATCAACATTCTTTCACTGTGAACATAACTTCCTAAAAGATAGTTGTGGATTGGGGGTCAGTAATGACTGGATGTTGGGATGGCACTGTTCAAAGCCAAATAGACTGGCAGGCTTGGAAAGGCATAAACTCTATATACACTCCCAGTATGCTATTTCCCACATTTTTGCTGTACACACTTGTCTCATAATATTGTATAAATTATTTCCTCAAATTTGGAAAAAAAAAATGAAGATGAATACACTTTCTCTTCATTTCAATATAACCCTTTTAAATGAAAGTTTCCCATGTTTGTTAAATCTGTTCAAGAGATGGATTTCAATATTTTCTTCACTATATGTACAATTTTTTCACCCTTAGTACCTCATTACAATCAATTTGGCAATAAGACCTCCAGTGCTTTGTCAAAAACCGCATTCAATAATTAGATTGTTAAATCTTCAGTTGAATATCCTTCTTAAGACACTGAATTATAACAAAGTCCAAAAAACATACAACCATTCATCAGTACCCTTGGAACCTATGAATTATTGCAAATCACTGAAGACACAAAAATGTGTTAAATAATTCAAACACAAATCGTGGGGAGGAGGATGCAAAATAAATACTACAATAGTTTTTCAACTCTATCTAAATGTTGCCCAGATAGTTAGATGAAAAGATTAATATTACTAACAGGAAGAGTTAAACTATTTTAAAGACTGTTTTCCAAGTAGTTAGAACAATTTTGCAAACAAAGGTGAGAGCCCATATCAATACATTTTTCTTGTAGTGTAATGTAATTGCTAATATGAGGTATAATCTGTAAGCAATTAATACAAATATAAATAGGTATAAGCCACCACTAAATAACAGTTTGGTGAAGAGCTTCTAAGCTAATACAGTTCAGGAAGGCGGTTAAGGGAATTGAAGAGAAGGGGCGGGCCAGGTGGGTTTACAGTAGGAACATCATTTATGTGCCTTATCATCATCATCTTATATGTAACAGTCCACTGTTGAAGAAAGGTAAATCCTTTCCAATTATGCTGGCCAAGAATCGCTTTATGTAAGATTATTTAACTACCATTTCATTTGCATTTTTATAATTGGATATACACATAATCATATATGCATATCAAAAATATAAACAGAATTTTAAGATATTTTTATGTCATTTCTGAAAAATTAACAGTTAAGACTGAACTATGTATGTACTACAGAATTTTCTAGAATATCTAAACTCAGGAGTAAAACCAAAGGAAGATGTTACTATTTCTTTAGTAAATGGCTTGCGTGAAACCTCAAGCTCACTCATCTTTTACAGATGGGTTTATCTGATAAGGATTGTGACCCAATGATTGTTTAGCAGCAATTTTACCAAACTGTAAATTATTTTATTAACAGCCATTATAAACAGATAATACTAATCTTATTTAAAAACCATGAGTGCCACACCAGTGAATATACAACCCATGAATAACTTAAAAAGTATTTCCCATTTTAAAAGGCAACACACAGCATACAAAAACCTATACTAAACAAAGAAGCTATAATATGGATACATGATTGATGTGTCTAAAATGATATATATACAGTACATAATTAATGTTAATTATGTGTCCAGTACATTTTTCTGTGATTCCCTTCATGCTTCACTTTCTCCAGAAACTGAATTCTGTACTTCCTCTTCTAAAATGGGTACAATCAGGTTATCCTTGGACATCAAATTATATTTCATCACAAATTTAGTAAACCGATGACACAAAAATGTTTCATTCTGTAAAGAGGAAGAAAAAAGCGTTATTTTAATCTATTATCCAAAACCAAAATAACAAGGAATAATGTCAAAATATATTACTGTCATTCTGATAAGAATGCATCAGGATAATCAGTGACATATACTTACTTCATATTCATCAAATATCTGCCGGTGATGAAAATAAGCATGTGAAAATATTCTATAAATCCTACGGCATACTGATCCTAGTTTTGCTACAGATGATTCCTTTATGCTAACCCTATTAATGGAAAAGAAAAACAGATTCATAGAGTTGGAGAGAATCTTAGGAACAATATAGTCTAATCTTCTCATTTTAAAAATGCAGAAATTAAAACCTAAGGAAAATAAGTGACTAGCTCAAGGTCACAGTGCTAATAAATGGCAGGGGCAGGACTGGAATCCCAGTTCATCACTCCCAGGCCAGTGCTCTTTCTACCTAACCACAGTGCGTAAGTTAAATTCACTATTACAGTTTTGAAACTTTTGTCAAAGTTTAATGCAATGTTATTATATTAAAATGAATCTTACAACTCAAAACTTAACAAAGGATACATTTAAGACATTAATACTTTGTCCACTAACCCATTGCTGTTGAGTTGGAATTGGTGATTAAAACTACTGAATTGTTGTTTTATTCTATAGAACTGGGTTATTTTGCTTCTTTTAAATAAAAATTGCACATTTCTAGTACTCTTTTTTTTTAAATGTACATAGGATACTGAGGCAAATCAGTATTTTTTTTATACATATATTTCATATGAGCTCTTCAGAGCTAATTATATTTGGGTAAATAAATCTCCAAATCCATCCACCTGGTAACAAATATCTAAACAAAATAAACAAAGGTCCTGGACTGTTCTTCCAGACTTCAACAATGATACACAAGCTTCTTCCTAGAGCTTAAAAATCTGTAGGTAAGGCTAAGGAATCCTTCAAAGCCAAGCAGTTGAACTCAGAAAAGTCTACTCTTTAGGCATGCTGTATAAGGGGAGGCTGACTACACACAGATTCATTGAATAACTCTAAGATATGAGAAGAAGAGTCTTGGAGTATGGGGGACAGCAGCAGGGACTAGCCTTAATGAAACTAGTCTCTAAATCTTGGAAGACAAACCCTGCTGCCTTTAGTTTAACCACGACTCTAATTTCAAAACTTGAGTAATTTCTGAGTCAAAGATACAACAGCAAAATATAATTTTTTTAAGAATACAACAGATTAGTCAGCAACCTAATTTTACTTTTAAAACATCAGCCTTTTAAATTAATTCCAAAAAGTTTAATATCACATTTAAGTTTTGTTTACCTGCTAGGAAAATATTTATTGCTATTCAGAAGACAGGCAGCACCATCAAGTGTGTGCCTAGTGTAGTCTATAGCAGGACACTATAAAAGAAAGGATATACAAATGTATTACCAAAGAGCTTTACCTCTTAGATTAGGTATATTTGTTATATAGGTGTCTTATTCCAAAGACCTGAGCATATTCTAAGAAAAAAGTCCCTTACAATTTCAGAGTGACTATAAAATGCAATATAGGTAGTCCCCAACTTACGACAGCATTCCATTACAACTCTGTCATAAGTCAGTTCTGACGTGAGTCAAATACCTCATTTTTTTTTTAGTTTTCCTTATTATTGCCTTTTATTATCACTATCTTTATAAATCATACTATTGAACACCTGAAAGTGAACACCTGAGAATGATAATATCATGAAATTACATGCTACAACACTGTACGTAGTACACAGTACTAATGATAAAATGCATTAGGAAAAAAAAAAAAAAGAAAGCTGTAAGTGTGGTTTGCTGTAACTCGAATACGTCATAAATTGCGGACTACCTGCGTTATATTAGTAAATAAAGTTTGATTATTCCCATGAACTATATTATCAGGTTTCCACAAGATACATGACCCAGTCTCCTATTTTCTGCCTCCTAACATTGTACCTAGAAGAAAACAATGTTTAGAGCTGGAAAGAACTGATTATCTAATCTAATCCTCTGATTGACCAATGAGGAATCTGAGGCTTAGAATGTTCAATGACTTAACCTTAAGATCATACAGCTAGGAAGGACTCAAAAACTATAACCCAGATATGCTGGTTCCTGGTCCACTGATTTATTCTTTACCAAGCTACCCAGAAACCTCCTTCTTTTCACAGATACCCCTAAGGATCACTGCCTTCTTATGTCCTAGAAAAAATACCTTATTATGTCCCTGGCACTCTATTCCCAATCTAGCATCTGTCGAAAGAACCTTCCTTGAACTCTTTTAAATTTTAACATGAAATTTTGAAGTCTCTTTATATTTTAATAAACCTATCTTATTCTATTCCATTGATCAGAAACAATGAAACCTACTGTCTCATAGTAAATCAGTAAACTTGCTAAAGGAAAAATAAGCTGCAAAGTAATTCTCTCAACCTCACCCTGTCCTCCTAAGGGTAGATAAACCCATTGCTGTCAAGTCAGATTCCGACTCATAACCACCCTACAGGACAGAGCAGAACTGCCCGACAGAGTTTCCAACAAGCACCTGGTGGATTCAAACTGCTGACCTTTTGGTTAGCAGCCATAGCACTTAACCACTATGCCACCAGGGTTTCCAAGGGAAGATAGGGAAAAGCATCCAGGGAAAGGATTGGGAATGAACCAGGAAGTCAATCAGAAGGGGTCGGGGTGGGGGGAACAGAGAAGGAGTAACGATGACTCTAGCTCTACCCAGAAATTAGATTATTTTTCAAGGGTTGAGACTGAAGTTGGTGTTTAGAAATGCAAATTAGTAACCACCGAAACACGTGGCTTAGTGGCGGGGGTGGGGGGGGTGGGGGGGGACCAAACCCACTGCCGTCCAGTTGATTCCCGACTCATAGCGACTCACAGCGACTCACGTGACAGTAGAACTGCCTCAGAGGGTTTCCAAGGAGCAGCTGGTGGATTCAAACTGCTGACCTTTTGGTTAGCAGCAGAGCTCTTAACCACTGCACCACCAGGGCTCCTGGCTTAGTATAGTGCATGGCGAATACATGAAGAGTTTTCTAAACAACAATAACAATTTAAAAATGTGTTTTTCTAACGATAAATCCATAGGAATTAGTGGTTAGTGTATTTATTGCCTAGAACAGTATCATGAACAGCGTTTATTGGAAAAAATAAAAAAATCACCTTTCTCCGGATATATGATTACAGGTAATTTGGTCAAAAACAAATATCCTGTGTCTACTAATTTGCGTGTACCATGGAAGAGTTTACAATAATTAAATCAGTGCTAGACATAATAGTATAATGCAAACCACACATGTAATTTTAAATTTTCCAGTAGCCACATCAAAATAGTAAAAAGAAATAGGTAAAATTAATTTTAATGATGTATTTTATTTAACCCAGTATGTCCAAAATACTATCATTTCAACACGTAATTGACATAAAAGGATCAGATACTTTTTCTATTTTTTAAATTAAGACATAATTCACATATCATAAAATTCGCCCTTTTAAAGTAAACAATTCAGTACTTTTTAGTATATTTACAAAGTTGTACACCATCACCCCTATCAAATTCTAGAATATTTTCATTACCCCCAAAAGAAACCCTATACCCATTAGCAGTCACTTCCCTATCCCACCTCTCCCCAGCCCTAAGCAACCACTAATCTTACTTTCTGTCTCTATGGATTTGCCAATTCTGGACATTTTGTAAAAATGTAATTATATGTGACCTTTTGTGTCTGGCATCTTTCACTTAACAATGTTTTCAAGATTCACCCACATTGCAGCATGAACCACTACTTCATTCCTTTTTATGGCTGAATAATATTCCATGGTATGGATATACCACATTTTGTTTATCCATTAATCAGTTGATGCACATTTGGTTGCTTCTACTTTTTGGCTATTATGAATAATTTTTTGTGTGGACATATGTTTTCATTTCTCTTTGGCATATACCTAGGAGTGGAACTGCTGACTCATACAGTAGTAACTTTATGTTTATCATTTTGAGGAACTGCCGAACTGTTTTCTAAAGGGCCTGCAGCATTTTACAATACCACCAGCAACGTATGAGGGTTCCAATTTCTCCACATCCTTGCTAACATTTGTTACTGTCTGTTTTTTATATTCTAGCCATTCTAAAAGTATGAAGCAGTATTTCATCGTGGTTTTGATTTGTATTTCTCTAATGACTAATGATGTTGAACATCTTTTCTTGTGCTTATTGACCATTTATGTATCTTCTGTGCAGAAATATCTATTCAGATCCTTCACCTAGTTTTTAACTGGGTTACCTGTCTTTTATTGTTGAGTCATAACAGTTCTTTATCTATTCTGGATACTAGACCCTTATCAGATATATGATTTGCAAATATTTTTCCCTTTTTATGGGTTGTCTTTTCATTTTCTTGATAGTGTCTGTTGAAGCATAAAAGTTTCTAATTTTGATGAAGTCCAATTTATCTGCTATATTTTATTTTGTTGCTTGTGTTTTTGGCATCACAATAAAGAAATCACTGCCTAATCCAAGGTTATAAAGATTTGCACCTATGTTTTCTTCTAAGAATTTTAGCTCTTACACTTTAGTCTTTGATCCACTTTGAGTTCATTTTTTTATATCGTGTGAGTTAGGGGGCCAATTTCATTCTTTTGCATATAGATACCCAGCTTTCCCTCAATGAAATATGTTACATTCTGTTTTTGTACTAAGCCTTCAAAATCCAGTATGTATTTTACATTTACAGTACATCTCAGTTTGGACTATCCACATTCTGAATGCTCCATAGCCACATGTGGCTTATGGCTGCCATTATCAAACAGCATAACATTAAACTTTTAACTGGTTTCTGGATTTTTTTCAAAGTTGGTGGGGGAGTTCTACCTTGTTTTAGCTGCCTCCCCATCACTCCAATCCATTCCTGGGTAACTATTCCTGCTATGCACCAACTGTAACAGCAAAAAAGTTGGCAAACATAGTCGGTTACAAAACAGTCTGTAGTGTAGTCCCAAAATAGTATGTAGTGTATTTATGTGAAATTATTCATATAATTTACAAAAATTTTATTTTTCCAAATATATAATTATAATGCTACTGAGAGTGACTATAAAGGGCTTAACGGAAAGGGCTTGTAGCTGGTTAAGTTACAAACTTTGTCATCTACAATCACTATCTGTACTATTAGCCCTATTTGGTACAATACCTCTCTTTAGTTCTCAAGGGCACTGAATGAATCATTACAGGTACTGAGTAACCTGCTTCTCCCACTTCAAAATCTGCCCAGTGTTTTTAATCAGTAAGAACAATCTTTTTAGTTACTAGTCTGTCATTTCCTATAGACTCCTGACTACATACAGTTATTGCAAGAGAGTTAAAAAAAAAAAAAAATCCTTTCAAGTTTTTCTTTTATTTGTATTTGTACAGTAACCTCATTGCATGTAACAACTATTTGGAAATTCTACTATCATCATCTATTGACACATGGCCAACTCAAAGGAGCTGGAACTCAGCAAGCAAAACTGCAATTTTAAGACTCACTGTTCATTCGTCTTAAATGCTACTGATTATCCCATCTTACCATTTAGTATTAATCAAGAAAAAAAGTGGATGTGACAATGGCAGTATAAATAAGTCTCATATTAAATCACAAACTGGATAGCATTTCCACTCTAAAGTGAGAATAATGCATCTTTAAAATTTGCCAAAATGAAGCTAGCCTTTTTGATGCACATTTCCTGTTACATCATTCACTGTACTATTTAGCCAAGTTTAGAGAATTAAAAATGAAACTACTATGTAGGTTTTCCCGGATGTAGCCTGACACACAACCTTAATATTGCTTCAATTTATTATTATTAAAAAATGTAACACCCTGAATGAAACCAGTCTACCAAATCAGTACTACTCGCTTAGACAGACACCAAATACTCCTTATTTTGAAAAATTAATCTTTTTTTCAAACAAAAGAACACCAGATAGCAACTCTGCAACTAAAGAGTCACTTGTCTTTAAGCCTTAGAGGTCTGTCAATATAATGGCCACCTGAAGGTCTACAATTCTACAGAACTGGCCCAGTATCTTCAATGAGTCAATGTCAAGTAAAAGGAAACTACTCCAGATTAAAAGAGAATGCAGATTAAGAGAAAGTCAAAGAAATATAAAGGACATTTTTGAGACAATTAAGGAAAACTGAGTATGTATGGGGTATCAGATGATATAAAGAAATTATATAGAAGATGAAAAAAGTTCTGTAAACAATTACTAGTATTTATGCTCTCACCTTAACAAAAACTAAATAAGGAGAAAAACAACATGAATAATTTCTTCAGTGAAGAACCAATATAGAGAGGACAATCATTATGGTGGCTTTCAATAAAAAGGTAAGAAATATGGAGAAAAATATTGACCTGTGAAACTTAAAAGCTCGAAAGTAACATTTCTACTCAACAGATTAAGCATCAACTAGTAATCACCAATAGTTCCTTCCTACCAAAAGAAGAAATCACAACTGAACCAAAGTCTAAACAGGTATATCTGTATCCATTACACAGTAGATAACATCAAAATGTGATAGATGTTATTCTGTGACAACCAGTGAATCATAAAGTGAGTTCTAGCCCATGCAATAGGCAATTATGAAAAATTATGCTAATCATAAGAATTCCTAAAACATTACTTTGGCAATAAATTTGCAGCAACAAACTCTAATCCAAATGTCAAAATAAACAGTGAGCTAAAAAGTCTAAAAACTTGTCTACCATTGTCTTGAAGAGATTTAGGATATGGTGATTTTATTATTCATTCTATTATTTTATAAATCCTCACCTCTTTTGGAGTTTTATGAGCTGCACAAAGAAAAATCCATTGTTCAGTTGCTGTCATCTGAGTACATGTATCTGGATGGCACTCACTCTGTTAAAAATAATTGTTTCTTAATATGTAAAATAATAATTAAAAAGTTTGTCATTTGGTTTACTAAATTTCCATGTGAAATTGTAAAAGAAAATAAATATTTTGGTTAAGTCTTTGTAAGACATTAAGTTACAAAAACAGAAAAAAACAGAATTTTCAATTATAGCTTTAATTTAAACAAAATATTACCTGAAGTTTGACAGCAAGTCCATTTAGCTCAAGACAGAACTGCCTAAAAATGCAAATACATAAATGAAAAATCATCTCTATTCGCCAGCTATTTTTAGAATAACTGTAAAAAAGAGAATCCTGTCAGTACCATAATTCCTTTCTCATCACTGTTATCAAAGCCACCTGCATATACACGGCATATTTCTTCCAAAGACTTACAGATTAAAGAAACAAAAACCATCAACCTTAATAATGTTCAAAACCAAGATTCCATGAATTGATTATTCTTATACACTGGAAAGTGGTACAATTTTTCAGAGGTGTAATCTGGAAACATTTACCAAGACCTTTAGGAAGTGTATACTCTAAGTCATTCTCCTAAGAATCTATCCTAGTAAAATAATCAGAATTGCATGCAGATATATGTACAAAGACGTTCATTGAAACTTTTTATATATACGCAAGAGAAAAATTTTGGAAACATTCTGAATGATTAACAACTGGGGAGTAACAAGATGTCAGTACATATAAACATACAGAGGATATACATCTACAGTCACAGCATGATTCCACTTATGTAAGAAAGTATTTGTGTATATGTGTATACACACACATACAGAAAGAAATACAGAGAAAAAAGATTAGAAGTTTTCATACTCATTCTTTAAGTTTTGTTCTGAGTATAAGACATGTTGCTTGTAAAAATTCAAACATCACCAAATATATAATATAGAAAACAAATAATCCCACCACCTCCTCCCCAAAGATAACTACTGCTTACACACAAATCTGTTTTTCTAAGCACAGATTAAAATATACTGTTTATCAACAATGGGATCTTATCAGACACAACTGTGTAACTTGCTTTTGTCACTTAATACATCTTGTGCATTCTTCCATGATACAATTGCCAAACCTGAGAATTATGAAGCCTAGAACACAGTAAGTACTCAATAAATATTTTATAATGAATGAAGAATGGAGGAAATTATATGACATTGGGACCACCAGTTTTAGATAGAGAGGTAGCAGAACTGTTAATTGATATGAGAAAGCAATTTATACTCCATGTCATACAGATAACTTGTTTTACAGCTATAAAAATACTGAATGTGTTACCTCTAAAAGTCGTACCTAGAAATATTGTTCACCGTATCAAGTTAGAAAATCAGCACTATATTTACCATCAAACAGATGAAAACACTGGTTCCCTAAAAATGTAAAGCTAAAAACTCAGATGGAGTCCCTGGGTGGCACAAACAGTTAAGCCCTCGGCTGCTAACTGAAAGGCTGGAGGTTTAAGCCAACCAAGAGGCTCTTTGGAAGAAGGACCTGTGATCACTTCCAAAAAATCAGCCATTGAAAACCCTATGGAGCACAGTTCTACTCTGACACACATGAGGTCACCATGAGTCAGAACTGAGTCAATGACAACTGTTTTTTTATAACAGACTAAAATCAGCTTTCACTTGTTAGGAATTATGCTTGTAATGGAAAAAAATTTTTTTTTGCTTATTTTCATCATTAATCCCAACACAAAAGTAAAAGCAGTTATTTTCAAGGCTGATTAAATAAAGCAGAGGATATACTATAGAAGTTCTCTATCCTGAGTCATCGTGTTGTTACTGTTGTTGAGTCAGCCCCTGACTCCTGGTGACACCATATACAACAACAGCTATAGCATTTTCACTGGCTGATTTTTGGAAGTAGATCGCCAGGTCTTTCCTCCTAGTTCACCTTTGTCTGTAAGCTCCACTGAAACCTGTTCAGCATCATAGCAACACATAAGCCTCTGCTGACAGATGAGTGGTAGCTGTGCTTCAGGTGTAGTGGCCAGGAATCAAACCCAAGTCTCCTGCATGAAAGATGAGAATTCTACCTCTGAACCACCACTGCCCTCAACCTGGATTATAAGAATGGGAAAATATCTACAGACTCATACTAACCCAGCACTAAGAGGTATTTTTAAAAATCAGAACTAGTAGTCAAGTAATTTGTCCAACAAAAATATGGCATAGGGAAAAAGAAGTCTTAGCCTCTGAAATTGCTGCAATGTTACATTATGTCTTAGCAATATATCAAGACAACAATCAGGCAGCATCAAGAGGGAAAAAAAGAGTGCCTTGTCCACACAAGGAAATGTGGTCTACTTTATTTAGGAAAAGTCTTATTTCTACTCTACTTATCATCTAAAAAACAACTCAAAAGTGATGAACACATATCTCATGCTGCATTCCATAATCTGTCAACTCATCCCCAACTCCCATTTGCACTAGGAGGTTAATAACTTACAAGGAACAACTGATGCAGTACTTCTAAAGTTAACTCTACCAATTCACTAGTCATCAATGTTCTCATTCAAAAGATGTTATGAAAAATTTCAAAACTCCTTACTTCAGGATTACAATCTATCTCTATTTATCAAAGTGAAGACTGAAAGTTCACAATAGTTCATAGGTAGCGCATCAAATTCCAGGTCTCAGCTAGGACCTTGAGGTGATCCTCTATTGTTGTTAGTTGCCATTGAGTCGATTCCTACTCATGGTGACCCCATGTGTGCAGAGTAGAACTGCTCCATAGAGTTTTCAAGGCTGTGACCTTTCAGAAACAGATCAGCAGGCCTGTCTCCCGAGGTGCCTCTGGGTGGGCTCCAATTGCCAAGCTTTTGGTCAGTAGCAGAGAGCTTCACCATTTGTGCCACCCAGGGAACTCCTAGAGATCCTCTATAGAGAAACAGTTATTCATGAGTGGGGAAATGGGAATAATGCATTCATGCTTAAGAGCTACAATTAAGAAAAAACATGTAAAAAAAAGATAATAAGGCAAAATCTTTGAACACAGAAAGGTAGAGAGACAGGTCCTTAATTATCTTCCAAGTAACCAACCAGCTCTGAAACCACTTTTCAAAAGAAAAAATGACAGTGCATCATAAGCTGATCTGGAAACAATCAGTAGACAACCAAGTTGAGAACCTTATGACACTGTGTCATGGACTGAATTGTGTCCCCCAAAAAAAGGCATGTATCAACTTGGCTAGGCCATGATACCCAGTGTTGTGTGGTTGTCCTCTATTTTGTGACTGTAATTTTACATTAAAGAGGATTAGGGTGGGATTGTAACACCACCTGAACACAGGTCACATCCCTGATCCAATGTAAAAGGAGTTTCCCTGGGGTGTGGCCTGCACCACCTTTTCTCTCTCAAGAGATAAAAGGAAAGGGAAGCAAGCAGAGAGTTGGGGACCTCGTACCATCAAGAAACCAGTGCCGGGAGCAGAGCACATCCTTTGGACCAGGGTCTCTGTGCAGAGAAGCTCCTATTCCAGGGAACACCGATGAGAAGAAGGCCAACAGAGAGAGAAAGCCTTCCCCTGGAGCTGACACCCTGAACTTGGACTTTTAGCCTACTTTACTGTGAAGAAATAAATTTCTGTTTGTTAAAGCCATCCACTTGTGGTATTTTTCTTGTAGCAGCACTAGATGACCAAAACACACTGAAATCAAAAAAGCTTTAGAATTTGGCCTTTTGGTCTGTAGTTACATAGTAAATTTTATTTATGATTCATAATCTTCATTAATCTAAAGGTTATTTTTACTAGTAGAAGTACTACTACTATTTCGATATATCATAAGGACGTACCTTAAATGTTCATACTTCCATACACCTTCATCTTGGCCTTCAGGTGGTTCAAGGATTTTGTCAATATTGGAGCAATCTGCCCTTATGTTTTGTTGAATATACTTTGAAAAAAAGAAGTTCTTACGGTTAGTTAAAATATTATGCTATGTAGTAAACCTTATGTTAAACATATACAATTTTATAATACATACTTACTCTTCTATTTCAACTTTTGGGTTACATACACTAAATAGGAAACCAAGGATAGAATCATAATCAGTAACTGAGAAGAAAGGAGGAGGTGACCCTCACCTATTCTTCTGCAATTCAACTTCTTTAGGGCAGGATCTACTACACACTACTGCAGATGTGTATTTATCAGGATTGGAACTGGGATCAAAATTGCAAACCATAATTTTCATATGAATATAAATTACAGACAATGTAAATATAACTCTGGTAGATATTATATGATTCCATTTATCAAATGTCTAGAATAAGCAAATTTATAGAGATAGAAAGTAGATGAGTAGTTGCGCAGAGCTGGGAGGATGGTGGAGGAAGGCAGGAAAGGATGGACAGGACTGCTTTAACGGATACAGGGTTTCTTTTGGAAGGATAAAATTGTTCTATAATTAGACCGTAGTGATGGTTGCACGACCCTATGAATATACTAAAACCACTGAATTGTACACTTTAAATTGGTGAATTGTATGACATGTGAATTATGCCAATAAAGTTGTTTAAAAAATATGACTGGTAGAAAAACTAAATTAAAAATAGACACGTAGAGTCATTTTCAATTAAAAGAAAACATTTAACATAAAATTTTAAATTTCAGAGGCAGAGCCAACATGGTGCTCTAGACAGAAGCACCATGCCGTCCCTCCACAGCAAAGACCCAAAAAACTAAGTAAAACAGATACAAACGTCAATCCTGGAACTCTAAGCGTCAAATGAAGAGATAAAGAACTCAACTAAGCACTGAATGGTTTAAGAAACTGACGGAGAACAGAGAATGAAGAGAGCTACGGAGTGGAGGTCCCTTACCAGCTAACGTGGCACAGATTCGCCATCTTGGACCCCTCACCCACTGAGAACAGCAGACAGGGTGTACGGAAGGCAACTTCACGGAGCTCCCAGCAGGATACAGAGCAGCCAGTAATCAGGGATACACGATTTCCCACCCCTACCCTTCTTCCCTCTGCACGGCCTGAGCCGCTTTCCAGCATGCCGCTGTCCCTTAAGCAGGGAGACACAGGCTCCTTGTTGCTTGGATTTGCCCCGTCCCCATGGGCAGGCTCCGTCAGTGCCATTTTTTTGTTGCTGCTGTTGGCTTTTTTGGCTTTTTTGGCTTATTCTCTCTCTCACCTCCTTTCCTTTCTCCTGAACACCTAGCACTGTGTGCTATCTCTGCCCCTTCTTGACGTGCTGTGCAGCACCACTCAGCTGGGGAGCTCCTTCCTCAGTCCACACCACCATGCTGGTGGGCTTCTTGGGGGCATTTTTATCTTGGTTTCTTGTATCTCTCTACCTTCCTTCCTTTCTCTTCTCCCGACCACCTGGCCACGTGTGCCTTTCTCTTTTTTCTTCCCAGTTTCTTATCTCTCTCCCTGCCTTCCTTTCCTTTCTCCTGCCCACCAAGCCACGTGTGCCATCTCTGCCACTTCTTGATGGGCTGTGCCACACCGCCCACCTACAAAGGCACTGACACATGGCTTCCCCCAGGTCTGTGCCACACAAATAGTAGGCTCCCTCTGCACCATTTTTTTATTTTCTCTTTTTTGGCTTCTGTTTCTCTCTCTTCTTCTTCACACTCCCTTAGCTCCACACATCACACCCTCCCCTTCCCTCCTGCCTATATGCACCACGCACGAAGCACCACACACCCGAGCAGCACAGGTGCAGACCACCGGACCCCGACCTGCACTGCCCCACAGCACTGCACTGTCAGCCCAGTACATGTTGCAAATGATCCATCTCCAGCCCTCCCCCTCCACTGGACCTACCCTGCTACACCACAGCTGAGTGACCTACCCTGCCCACCTCGGCAAGGTAGTGAGAAGTATTGTGCCTACAGACAAGCAAACAACAAAGAACGCCCAGCCCGCTTGCTCAGACATAACCAAATAAAACAAAAAAGCAGGACGAAACAAACAAATCTACCATCAGTAAACAAAGAAAATAATTATTGAATGTCCTGAAGACAGCAGACAATATCAAAACATATTTTAAAAAAAGGACAGGATGGCTCCAGTAAGCATCCAAAATAAATCACCAGATGACCTTCGGGTAGAGGAAAAGACCTGGAACGACCTGATAGGGAATTCAAAACTCTAATATTCAGGGCTCTCCAAGAGATGAAGGCAAACGCAGATGAAAAAAACAAGTAAAAAATAGACAAAATCTGGAAAATATAGACAAAATCATGGAAAAGACAGACAAAACAATAGAAGAATTCAGTAAAACAATAGAAGAATTCAGTAAAACAATACAGGAACAAAATGTCAAAATAAACAACTAGAAATCATACAAAAACAGCAATTAGAAATCTAAAAGATAAACAACCACTTATAATAGCCCCTAAAAAAATAAAATGCTTAGGAATAAATCTAACCAGGGATATAAAAGACCTATACAAAGAAAACTATAAAACACTACTGTCAGAAACTAAAAGAGACCTACATAAATGGAAAAACATACCATGCTCAGGTATAGGTAGACTTAATATTGTGAAAATGTCAATTATTCCCACAGCAATCTACAAATACAATGCAATCTCGATCCAAATACCAAAAATGTTCTTCAAAGAGACGGAAAAACTAATCATTAACTTTATACGGAAAGGGAAGAGGCCCCGGATAAGTAAAGCACTACTGAAGAAGAAAATAGGATGACTTGCACTACCTGACCTCAGAACCTACTATACAGCTACAGTAGTCAAAACAGCCAGGTGCTGGTACAACAACAGACGCACTGATCAATGGAACAGAATTGAGAACCTGGATGTAAATTCATCCACCTACAGTCACTTAATGTTCGACAAAGGCCCAAAGTCCATCAGATGGGGGAAAAGACAGTCTTTTTAACAAATGGTGCTGGCAAAACGATGCCCATCTGCAAAAAAATGAAACAAGACCCATAACTGACACCATACACAAAAATTAATTCAAAATGGATCAAACACCTAGATATAAAGCCAAAAACTATAAAGTTCATAGAAGAAAAAACAGGACCAACACTACAGGCCCTAATACACAGCATTAACAGGATACAAATCATAACCATCAACACACAAACCCCAGAAGATAAGCTAGATAACCGGGATCTTCTAAAAATCAAACACCTATGCTCTTCAAAAGACTTCACCAAAAGAGTCAAAAGAGAACCTACAGACTCGGAAAAAATTTTTGGACAGTACGAGTCAGACAAAGGTCTAATCTCCATAATCTACAAGAAAATCCAACACCTCTCCAACAAAAAGACAAATAATCCTATTAAAAAATGGGCAAAGGAAATGAATAGATACTTCACCAAAGAAGGCATTCAAGCGGCCAACAGACATATGAGGAAATGCTCACGATCACTAGCCAGTAGAGAAATGCAAATTAAAACCACAATGAAATACCATCTCACCCCCGCATTACTGGCAAGAATCAAAAACACTGGAAGTAACAAATGTTGGAGGGGCTGTGGGGAGATCAGAACTCTTATGCACTGCTGGTGGGAATACAAAATGATACAACCATTTTGGAAAATGATATGGTGCTTTCTTAGAAAGCTAGAAATAGAAATACCATACGATCCAGCAATCCCACTCCCAGGAATATATCTTAGAGAAATAAGAGTCGTCACTCGAATAGGCATATGCACACCTATGTTCATGGCAGCACTGTTCACAATAGCAAAAAGATGGAAACAACCTGGATGCCCATCAACAGATGAATGCATAAACTATGGTACATACACACAATGGAGTACTATGCAATGATAAAGAACAACAATGAATCTGTGAAGCATCTCATAACATGGATGAAACTGGAGGACATTATGCTAAGTGAAATAAGTCAATCACAAAAGGGCAAATATTGTATGAGTCCGCTATTGTAAAAACCCATGAAAAATGTTACACACAAGAAGTAACAATCTTTGTTGCTTACCAGGGATGGGAGGGGTGTGGGGGAAATACTAAATAGGCAATAGATAAGTGGTATCTTGGGTGAAGGGTGAGACAGTACACAATACTGGGGAAAGCAGCACAACGTGTACAAGGAAAGGCCATGGAAGCTCCACAGACACATCCAAACTCCCTGAGGGACTGAATTGCTGGGCGGAGGGCTGTGGGGACCATTGTCTCGGGGAA